AACAAAAATAATCTACTTTTTAAGGATACCTGCTAGTCCCAGTAATAAGTGGATTCTAACTAACCGGACAAGGGTACGAAAGAATGTCCCATCCTTGGCTAAAACAGCAAAACAGACCATCTCGAATATTTCGCACAGGTCTGTGGCAGCGGACTTGAGATTATACGTCGCTCACAAGTCATGGGAAATATGTTAAAAGATACACCTATACCAACGCGTCAAGGTATTTCAAGAACGCGAGTGAAACTTACGATCACACTCAGGGTCGAACCTGCAATAGATGCTTCTACTGTTCATTACGATAACGAGATCGACAACTTCCACTGCTAATGTGGAATTAAGCAATCGCAAATAGAAAAAATAGGAATGTACAATAGCAAATTGCAGGCGCTACTTGGATAACCTTGAAACAATCTGCAACGTACAAACAGTCCTAACCAAACTTTGGAATAGCACGAGATAATCCAGTAAAAAACAGTACCGATGAACCGACAGTGGGGGCTATTTTGCATGTATTTAGAAACGAAATACGTCTTTATCTAGAAGAGCAGGCGACTCATGTTAAGAAACCAGACCTACGTAACATAAGTAGACCACATATATGGACCGAGGTAAGTAACTTTCTGAAGAATAGTGTCCCGTTCTACAGATACGACTGGCCTATTTCTGGGGGTGGGGGAATTTACGGCCGACAGGTCATGGTTCATACAGCAGACTGCACGCAGAACAAATTTTGTGATTTACATGTCCAAAACAATCTCTTTAATATTATCAAACAGCATCGACAACTGGTGGCTCATAGTGGTCAGCCCGTTCGACGCTTTCACCGGCCTCTTCTTCCTTGCCTTCGCCATGGAGTTCCATCAGACGACCGACTATTTACGAAATTAAGAAATGTGCAAACTTACGGTCAAGTTTTGGTTTTTTCAGGACTTTAACCTTCCGCACATAAGCGCCACTAAGTGGGAATATCCTAGACGCCTCTTTGCGAGCATCCTGGCCAATAGAATCGGGGATACTTAAAGATAATAAACTTTAGAGAAAACCTTACAGTTTCTGAACGACCGA